TCTACCCATTGTAGGTTCAGATTTATGAATTGGAGGAGCACAAGATAGAAACCTGGAGGGGTAAGAATATTTACTACTTGGTTTATAATTTGGTATGTTCTAGTGTTTTTCAGTATAGTGGATTTTTAATTAACCATAGGCTTAGCTTGTCTCTCCACACACTTTTTAATGAAAGCAGAAATAGTAAACGCCAACTAGAAATTCATACAACCTGCTGGGTGTGAACAGAAGTGCTGAATGCAGAGAGGAAGCTTAACGTTAAAAATAGACTGTATGCCGTTAAATAACACAGTACTCCATGCGGCAGACGCTCACACAAAACGAGCTGGTAAAGACTTATTTGCTGTTGTTGCAGTGACCCCTGGTGGTAACCAGTTTAGGCTCACTTAAAACTTCTGTTGCCTTAACGTAATCTCCTTGAGCGGTAGAGCTGTATATATTGCTGCCTTTCTTCAATTTAACTGTGTATGAATGAATTCATAAAATGCTTTCATAAAAAAAGCTAGTGTTTTCATATAAAGTGGTAATGGTCTATTAATTTTCTGTACACAGAGCTTTATTTACAAGAGACTTTTAAACCTTTAGTGAACATCTCCCCAGATGCAAGGTAGGATTTTGCTTTTCAGTTTGCTTAACTTGAAATAAACTAACTCCCATCTCAATATTGAATTTAAGACTTCTTTATATAATAACAAACAATGTTGTAAACTGGAGTACAAAAGACTGACTTTTCTCATCTTCTTGATCATAATAAAGGGAGCTTTTTTTATTGTGAGTGAGGACCTTTTTTTTAATTATCCAAAGAGAATTTTTAGTTAAACTTGTGTCTTTTACTTGTCAATGTGAGTAACTTTCTTTAACTAAAGGAAAGATGATATGTGTCTTGTTTTGCTCTGCTACTAGTTTGGGTTCCTTAAAATATACATGACTGTTCTTTTCTTGATGGAATTTGAAAGAAACAGTTTTGTGAATTGCCATTATACCTTAGTTACCAAAGGTAACTTGAGAGCTTTAGTTGCTCACTTAACAACTTGAGTAATACTTAAAACTTCACTTTTCAGCAATTAATTCTTGCTTTCAGTTAGTGGAATAAGATTGCTTATGCCGTATCATAGGAAACTGGTGAAGGGAACTTTTCACCACAACTAATGATATGCTATATCCTCACGTAGTAGGTGTAATAGAATGACATTCTAAGTAGTAGTAGATGTAGTAGAATTGCAGTATAGAAGATACAATAGGACATGTAACATTTTCTAAGAAGAGCAAGAACACTTTTTCACTTACTGTCGCTGAACAGAAATAATCCATTTTGAGTGCAGGGATATCGTGAGCACAGCACCCACTGGAAAAACAGTTTATACTTGGGAGGAGGTATTTCTTCACTACTTTCTACCATAAAAAGTCACTTTCAGTCACACCTTCTTACTGGTGTTAGATGTTCATGAGCATATTGTTGTTGTGTTTTAACCAGCTGCAAAAGTTAATTTCAAATCCCTTAGTTAGTGTTTTCTTTAACATTAACAATAATGTAAGTTCTCATCGTATGTACTTCATGGGGGGCTTGTAAACCTGTGTGTATATCACTTGACATTACTAATTGCCAGCTAGAATTAATTATTTTTAAAAATGTTTTTCTCCTCAGCCTTTTTGATGCTGTATATTCATTGATCAAAAACAAAATCCACAGATTGCCAGTTATAGATCCAGTCAGTGGAAATGCACTTTATATACTTACCCATAAAAGAATCCTCAAGTTCCTCCAGCTTTTTGTAAGTATTTAAAGTTATGCTTTGTTTAATGGATTTTCTCCCCCAGTAGACCTCTTTAATGATAAGTAATTTAAGTCGTAGTACAGAAACTTCCTGATAAAATTCCATATTCATTGTGCCTGTGCATATCCCTTTTGGTAACAGAGAAATTTGAGCTTGATGTAGGACCTGTACGTTGCCTTTTCTTTCTTTTAGTCATTTAAAGAAACCTCAACAGCAAGGACTTCTTTTGGCTACTGAGTAATTTGCTGTCCTTTCTGGAAGATCTACCCAGCTTCACAAGCTTGTTTTCATGAAAAGAAAAATGAATCATCTCCCAGAGATGAGATTATCATTGCTCACTGTCGCTTACATTAGTCACAGGAATAGACAGGAAGCACAATGAATCAAAAAGAGTGCTAAATAAGCAAGTATGTCTTGCTGTCATCTCTCTCCAGTTCCAGTGGGAAGGAGACACCTTGGGATCAAAAGCTTTTAGCGATGGGTTACTACAAAAATAAATAAATGAGAAAACGTAGTAATATAGTCTTAATTTAGAGCAGCTTTGAACAGAAATACTACTTCTAGCTGTGATCTTGTTTTGGCTTTGCGTTAATTTCGTAGCAGATTACTGTGAGGGTCTGTAACAATCATTTGGAGTCTGTAGATGGATGAGTGAATATGGATTTCCTAATACACATACCAATTATATGGAAGCATAGTAGGTGTAGAAAAATGGTGGTTGTAGAAAACTGCTCTGTAAATACAGTAATTCTGACTTTCCTAGATGTCAGAGATGCCAAAGCCTGCCTTTATGAAGAAGAATCTGGATGAACTTGGAATAGGAACTTACCACAACATTGCCTTCATACATCCAGACACTCCTATCATTAAAGCCTTGAATATATTTGTAGAGAGAAGGATATCGGCATTACCTGTTGTGGATGAGTCAGGTGTGTGCTGGGGGGTCTTCTCTATAAAGAAGCGTGGCAAGATTAATGGTGCTGAACCCTGGACTGATGTTGGGCTGGGTGGTGAAGAGGAGACAGAATAAAAAAGGCAAGGGGAGGGTAAGGGGCAAAAGAGAATATAAAGAAACATTTATGCAGGATGTAGGTTGATAGGCTTGGAAGCACTTCATGGTTTGGTAGGCGTTTTTTTTTGGGGGGGGGGGGGGGGCAGGTTCTCCTTGATGTGTCTGTTTTTTGTGTAATTATAACAAATGAAACCAGGAAGCAAGAAAACTAATTTTGTATTTCAAGCACTTTACTAACTTTTGCTTTTCTTTTTAGGAAAAGTTGTAGATATTTATTCCAAATTTGATGTAATAGTAAGTATATCTCTTAAATTCTATTAAATATTTTATATGCAGTGAGCATTTGTAAATTAATTTGTTAATATGTAAATTTTGGCTATTTTGTTCCTTAGGCTTTAGTTAAATGAAAAAAACATATTCAATTCACCCTGAACAGCTTTATTATTATTATTATTATTATTATTATTATTTAGGCTCTCCTTGTAATAGGACTTGCACACAGGCATCTACTGCTCTGGTTGTTACCCAAAATTAGATCTGGCTGTACTCCTACAAAAAGAGGGCATAGGCTTTTTATCCTTGTTTCTATTTTTGAGATAGGATTTTCCATTCCTGGCCGCTGCTATTCCACGTTCTGTTTTCAAAGAGAATGCAGATTTCTCCAAGCAGTCTGAGTATTTCCTAGAACTTGACCTTCTCAGTGAACGTACTTGGCTCATTCTTTTGTGTGAGTCTGACTCCAGAGGATTGCGTCTGTATTCCCTTCTGGGTTAGATACAATTCAGGCCAGTTTCTGGTGGGAATTCCGGTTTCCCTCAGGAGTGCAGCAGCATAGTCAGATTCATGCCATGATTTGCCAGCCTCAGGGAGCCTGGGCTCTTCTAGTCTAGTGCTCTTGAAAAAACGTGTTTAGGGCTTTTTTTATTCCTGTCCTCTCCCAGCTGAATGCACCTGCCTTCTGATAGCTACATTATTTTTCAGACACTGAAGTGCCCAGCCTCCTAGTGCTAATGAAGAATCCTGATGGCTGAAATGCTGTGTAGAGTGCTTTCAGAGAAATGAAGAATAGTCCCAAATGGAAATACTTCAACTTGTAATGTCTTTACCTGCAAACAGTACTCCTAACGCTGAAAATTTCATGTTGCTGTCTTTGCCGCCTTTTCTAGGTGTTTGTCTTCTTAGGGATTTTCTGCTCTGTAAGATCTTGTTCTGCCATAAAAGCTGGTTAGTGAATAGGTGGTAGCTGCAGTGGGAGTGATCTAACATATCAAAGACAATGAAATTTCACAGTTGGTGGATGCAGTGTTTCCACTTAATTTTACAACTGTGTTACTTTGAGGCAGGATGATTCTCCTCTATTTCCCATGCCTTTTCAGAAAGGCACCAAAAGGAAGAGGGTTCTTTATGTTTTTCCACTTCTTTTCTGACTTTAAGTGACAGGCAACAGAAGTTGTAGGATTTTTAGAGATGCTTGATCTCTTCTTTGGAAACATTTATGTATTGGGATCTGGGGAGGGAAACAAACAAACAAAATCATGAAGGCTTCAGGATATAATTGTTTGCTTCCAGCTAGTAACATGGGAAAGAGTTAGGGCATCTACTGATTATTCAAGATCTTCCTCAGAGTCCTCCAAGACTAGTCTGCTTATTATTACATGGGAGGGAAAAGATTCTTTTCTTAGAAGATAATAATCTCAAAGGCTTCTAATTTTATCATCTGCTTCAGCCTGATCTGCTGGCTTTAAAAGAAGGGGAGGGGGAAATATGTGAAATGTATAAACTGATCTTCCAATAAATATAGAATTTGCAAGATTCAACTGGTGATTTTTATCTTTAAGCCATGTGGCTAATATCCTTAGTTACATCAGGGGTTTAAGCCATGCCTGTATAGACAGCTGGCTAACTTGATAGATGATTTAAGACTTCTGAATTCGTTTTCATGTTCTTGATGGGAGAAACCTGGAAATGGTGTGATGGTATAGAAATAGCTTTAGGTTAGTGTTCATTGCGTACAGGGTGATCTCAGTTTGCAGAGGCTTTTTATGTTTTCCTACTGTCTTCATTAGGAATTAGTTAAATGAGTTAACTAAACATGCTTGTATCTTCATGATCATCTGCAACTGATCTTGTTATGTTCAGAGTAATTCAATCCAAAAACCTGACCAATCACAGTATATTCTAGCCAAAAATTAATTTCATTGATTTTTCCAGTGTTTTCTTTTTTTTTTTTCCTTTTTCTTTCTTCCTTCAGTGCTCGAGTACGCAAAATCAGTAGGCCAGAATGCACCGACACTATCAAAATACTGCAATGGTCTCACCTACAAAGAAAGCTTTTGCTAGTCTGGACAAATTCCTCTTGTTACAAGCATGGTCCTGTTCTTAAAATGAAAGTTGACCATGTCAGCTTTCAAAGTTTTCTAATTTTATTACTTTTAGTGGTGGTAATGGGTTTTCATTTATGACTTTTTTTATAGTACTTATTGAAATGTATAGTTATTAAATGGCAGTGCCAGTTTAGTCCAGGAGAGGGAGTTTGAGCCCACAAATGAGAGGTGATGAAAACTTTTAAATTGGCTTTCTGCTTAGCTCTTAACTGAGATCTACTTTATGGGTGGTGTTCAGAGCAGTTGGTGTTCTCCCCTATCCTATGGAAAAACAACAACAAACAAAGCATATTCTTAAAATAAATACTGTATATTCTAAAATCTGTGGAACTTCATCTTTACATTTTCTACTCATGTCAAAAGCGGGATGAATGACATCAAGCCAATATCAGCCAGCAAAGTAAGGAGATTTTCACTGGCATAATGCATATCACCAGTTTTATCAGTTACATGCTGTATGACAGACTGGGTTAACATAATTGCATGCTTGACTGTTCTCAGAAAATGAAGCTGAAGAGCAATTGCTTTGTTTAATATGTGACTTGGAATAGACTCAATTTGCACCAGAAATGTGTATCTACTTGATGCCAGTATATTTACTCTGGTGAGTACTTTATTGAGATGTGTTATGTGCCTTGTTGTTTTGCTTTTCCAGAATCTTGCTGCTGAAAAAACATATAATAACCTAGATATCACAGTGACGCAAGCCCTACAGCACCGTTCTCAGTATTTTGAAGGTGTTGTAAAGTGTAGTATGCTGGAAACACTGGAGACCATTGTGGATAGAATAGTGAAAGCTGAAGTGAGTTGGCTTTTTATTTTTCCCTTCACTGTAAGTTAAAAGTTGTATTGCAAATAAATAATACAAATCTATCCTTTCTAAGTTATTTTTGTTACTTGCTGAAAGTATTTTTGCATAACTACATGTTTTGGGTATCAGTTTGCTTTATAGACTTTAATTATAGGTGCTTACAGGGATGTGCAAAGTATTGTACAGTACATCTGTAATAATACTCAGTTATTTGCATTTCTGGTTTATGACATAACTGAACTGAATGCAAAGATTTCTTGAAAGAATCGTGTTTCTTCCAAGCCTGCCATGAGTTTTGCAGACAATTCCTCTAGCTAGATTGATTGGCCTTTGGTTCAGGAAATTTAATGGGTACAACTAGTTAATGTTTTCTGTGCTTTGGTACTGTTTATTTTGTTTGTTAATACTGGGATCTTATACACAGAGATGAAGGAGTATGTAAGTCTTCCTCCCCGATACATCTCTCTACAGAACAAAATCAGTATTACCAGCTTCAGTTGTCTTCGAAGTGTGATCAACTCCATTTAAATGCTTCAGCTTTTTTCAATTACAAGATTATTCTTCCCAGCATCCGGGCTGTAACCATGCATGTACTTGATACAAGTGAAACTTCCACTTTGTTAATAACCCCTTAGAACCTCCATTAAGCAATTTCTGCTTGTAACTTTCTGCATTTGCTTGAGCTTCTGCCTGAAATGGAATAATTTTAGGTAATTTTGTTGCTATGTTAACAGGTGGTAGACATTTGGTTTTAAGAATAACTCCTACCCTTTGGTTCAGTCTAAACATAGCGAGATTATATGTAAAAATGAGTCAGTCAAAACTACAAGCTATATTTAGCTGCCAGGCAAGTGCTTGATCTTACTGGAAATGAAACAAATACACTGTCCATTTTTCTTTAATTCATTACACTGACAGAAGAATAAAGTTATTAAATATGTGCATATACAAAACCTAATAACCATGTCTAAAAAAATCACAATTTCTTTTTTTCATGAAAAAGAAAATGCAGCAGTATTTTTCTGTCTGTTCCCACCTCTCTCCTTTCCTTCCAGTGTCAGGTGGGTATGACTGTGCAAAAAATTCAGAGCTTCTCTTTTCTTGTATCTGATTAGCAGCAAAGTGATTGACCTCAAGCATAAATTAACATACCTATTAAATCAAGACTGATGTATCTTTCTTGCTGTCTCCTCTGTGAGGAGATGAGAAACGTCCTTTTTACCCTTGTAGCTGAATATTTGAACTTTATTGTGAAGAGAGAATTCACTTAGGTAAAAAGTAAACACATAGTAGGCTCTCAGCTTTGGACAAACACCCTTTTTAGGATCCCTCACTTATGAGCTGGTTCAGCTGTGATGTTTAGGTTATAAAACTCTGCCCACTTGCACCAGGCTCTGGTGCCAGGCATGATGTTAAGACACTTTTCCTGGTTCTGCAGTTGTCTTCCACTGTTGTAGCCTGCTTTGGTCAATGAGTCTCACTCAGGATATAGGAATATTCACCTACTTCCCCTACAGCTAGAACAAAAGTTTTCTAGTATAAAATGTTTCACGGAATAGGTTTGTAAGGATAAGATCATTATGTGAAAATACACTTAGTTTTGATAAATCTTCCCAGTTGTGTATGTTTAATTCTCCAGTGAACTTGCACAGGTAAGCTGAATAATTATTTTTTTTTGTCTTAAACACCTTCTGTCATGTAGCCCTACAAGAAAAATTAAGCGAAAACCAACTTAGACATGTCATGATACAACAAATCTTAGTGTTGTGCCACTCTGAGAAAGTATTTTTCAGAAGGAAGCCTCATTTTATTCCTATATGTTACTCTGAGATCACAGGTGGTGTTGGGCAGTCTCAAAGCTGAGGAAAAGTGTTTTGCTGTGAGTGCCAATTTTTGAGAGCAGAAGTACTTTAAAGACCTAGATCTTGGCTTACCTGTCACTTCAAATCTGATTTTGTTGCTGTGTCAGATAGCTCTGTGTTTTTTAAACATGCACTTGTTTTCATTTATGTAGGGCAAGCTTGTTTGTATCGCTGAGTGAGATTGGTATTGGTAACATTTTTGAACCACTTGTTTTTTTTCTACTTGTCTTCATACTGTGTTACTTTAAGATTTACTGTTGTTTTTCTTTGCTTCAGCTGTTACTTTAAATAAGGCAAATATCTCTCAAAATATTTTCCTTGCTGGCAGGTTCATCGTTTGGTGGTAGTGAATGAAGCAGATAGCATTGTGGGTATCATCTCACTTTCTGACATTCTACAGGCTTTGGTACTCACACCTGCAGGTATGAACATTGTCTTCTCACCTTTGCCATAAGTCGTTTGGTAGTGTGTGCACCCTGCTGGTTTTAATGTAATTGACAATAAGAAGCTTTTGATTTTCAACTTTATATCTGGTTAGTCATAGTTCTTACATACAGTATTTATTTCTCTTCAGAAAAAAGCTGATAAAATACTGTCAGTCTTTCGTTCCCTGAGAAATGCATGCAGAAGCTTCGCAAATATCATTACTGTTCATGTATCCTTTTAGGGAAAAGGTTTTGATTAACGTTTTAACAAGAAAAACAGGATGAAGTTGAATAGACAACAGGGTGCCTTCTCCAGCTTCCTGAGTTTCAGTACTCTGGCCAAGTGCTCCTCGTGTGGACAAGGCTGTGCTTTCCACTAGCTCTGCAAGCCCACCTCCTTTGAGCCCTGCAGTTGTCCAGCTATGCTGTGGGGTTTGGTTGGCACATCTGTGTTGGAAATGGCACCTCAGGCCACCAGAATTATGCCAGTAGAAATCTCTAGTGTATTACTAACCATGATCAGGTTCATTTTAACAAGAAAGTCCAATAGTAGATTTATTTCTGCTACTTTTATGTCAGTTGGTTGAGGGGGGTTGGTTTGGGATTGGATTTGGATTTTTTTTTTCTTTCAAGTTTTTCCCAAGTTACTAACCTGCTTAATGTTCCTAATTGTAACTTAACTGAGACCACATAAATGGCTTCAGTGTCACAATAACTAAAGCAAAGCCCTCTTTTAGCTTTGTGAGGAAGACAAAAATTATGTCTTTAGGATTACAGTTTTGCCTCAAAAGAAACCCAAACAACCCAAACTCAAAAATGATTAAATGAATGGAAGTGGATATGTACTTAAAAAAAACTCTAAATATATCTTAACTGGGACCTCTTACTTGCACTGATAGATAACATGATAATGTAAAAGTGTTTCTCCTCTGTAGATTTAAGAAAAGTTAGTGCAGCTTTTTGAAATAGTAAGGCTCCTACCTTGAAAGAAAGTGATCAGTGATACTGCCAGAGGTATTATGTCAATGCATCTGGTTCCTTTTAATGACCTGGAAGAGCAGGAAACCCAGCTTTCTGTGAAAGGTATGGATCAGATTGAGAAATCAGCCAAAAGGCCTGGGTCAAATGGGCTCATTGCCTAGAAAGATAATGGAGGGGTGTATGTCCCTTCTAAGAGGGAGGTGTAAAGATGGGCAGACTGTGCCTCTCCAGGCAGAGGAGGTAGTTTGCCTCATGACTAGAGGGTAGAAGGATCTAAGGAGAGTAGAACATTACTGTTGATGGAGTAGAGTTTAGAAAGAAAAGATAGATCTGGACACTGACAAACCAAGAGCTTTGTCATATTGAAGTTACATGGACACTTAAGTTGTAACTCCATGAGCCGATATAACGGTGCTCTGTTACGAAAATGGGTAGTTTCTGCTCCCATACTCTGGGCCATGTGCTTCTGGCATTTAGTGTGAGGCAGCACCCACACTCAGGAGATCCCTCTGTGGGCTGCTTTAAATCATTGATCTAGCAGGCAACTGAGCCAGCAAAAACTGCAGAGTTTTATCTGTTTGGCATGCTAAACTGGCTCACAGATGAGTTTCGTACTGAGTACAGGGGTTAGAGGAACAGAAGGCAGGATTATGCCACTGGAAAAGCTAAGGTAAGGGAAGGCCTCCTTAGGAATAGCTGGGCATTAGATTGCAGTTCCACGGAAAATTTAGGTTGGAATTTGTCTCGTGAAGTAAGGGTGAGGATGTCTGTGGTGTAGATCTAGTTTATAAAGTCTGGAGGGTTGGGTTGGGGGGGTATCGGTTGTGATGTATAAACTGGATGTATTTAACAAGTATTTCAGTGTTTGATTATACAAGTAGTAACTCCAGGTTGCTGGCAAGTGGTGCTTGATTTCTAGAGCTGGATGCTCAAGCCAAACTCACAGTATGGTTCAGTCATTGCCCAGCATGTGGCTGGTTTGAGTACTTGGAGAAGAAGCAAGGTGCTGTTCAATCCTGCTGAACAGGTCTCTCAGATCCCTACTGTAAGCAGAATCTGCCTCTGAGCCAGGAAAAATAGGTCCATCAACACAGTGTAGCTAAACTGAATTCTTACATAGCTTGTTCTCAAGCAGGACATGAATTTTTGAGGCTGTTATGAAGATTAAGCTT